CCTTCCTTCGCTGTTTCATACAGCAACATCGTCTTCTAATCTCGTCACTCCTTATTCTCTGCATAATATATACACTACATACAAATCTCCAAAATATATCTGCTGCACTCTTCCAGAACTATTATTAAGTTAGCTAACTGGCTGAACAGTTTTGCTCTTTTCCCTTATTTTCAAGCATATTTTCAAATGCATATATTATCATTCACTTGAAGAATTTCATCAATAATATATAATAATAAGTAATAAATAATAATAATAGTAATCATAATAATAATATAATAATAATAATAATAATAATATATAATATCTTTATTTACCACAAGTGCATGTACAAGGTATACATGTATCCCAGTTGGATATGCTGAATGTTGAAGACAGAGTAAACAATGAAGCTAAATCACGTTTATGAAATTGCTCACAAACATTTGTCAGAATATTTGTTAATTTGTCAAGGTTGGGAACCAAAGCAATCATAGTATAGTGGGAAGAGAGCACAACTTTATACCACAGTCAGTGGCCAGGCTTCAAACACCTTTATTGTACAGCAATAAAGGAATGGAACAGACTGCCCGCACATGTCAAAGCCAATCATAGCGTGAACCAGTTCAAAAGAGTTGCCAAAAGGTGTCTGATGAATGTAGCTACAGAAAGGGAGGATGTTTTACTATTTTGTAGCTAACATACGTGTAAATTTACCTTATTCCTTGTAATGACCCTCCGTATTGTAGATTTCTTAAGAACTTGGTGTAGCAGATAGTCTTTTTAGTATGATAATAAGATGTTATCTTCATTGTAGATTAATAAGAAAATATTATAACCTTTATATTATAATAATAAGGTAAAAGGACCCCAATGGAAATAAGTCACTCTGTCTGACTTTTTTGGGTTATCCTAGGTTCTCTACACATATGCTGCTATGTATGATAATTCTATATAACTGTATTTGTGTATACCTGAATAAACTTACTTACTTACTTACTAGCTGACATCAGTGACATATCGCTTGTTATGCAGAATATTTCGGGCAAATTAGGTCAGTTTTGTTCCCAGGATGCGACCCACACCAGTCGACTAACACCCAGGTACCCATTTTACTGATGAGTGAACATAGACAACCGGTGTAAGGAAACACGTCCAGTGTTTCCACCCCTTCGCCGGGAATCGAACCCGAACCCTCACCGTGTGAAACGAGAGCTTTTGCCACCAGGCCGGTGAAGCAACACCGGATCTTCGGCAATGAAAGTTCCTTCACGCTACCAACCACCATGTACATGATATAATCAGTGCAACCCATCCTCATATCCTGTGTCAAAATATACTAGGTTAACATAGTTCTTGTCCTAACCTTGTAAACTGCAATATAGATTAGGGCAGCCGCACAATGCAATTGAACTTGTATTTAAAAAAAAAAAAGAACAAACACGTTTTGCATATTATCTCCTGTTAATCAAGTGTTTGGTAACTCAGTCCACCGTAATGCAGCTCCAAGTAATTACACATTGGAATTTCACACTCAGGTGGCAGTAATTGTCTTTAGACACAAAGGAAGGAGGGAAAAGACGTCAGCAAAGAATAAAGTGGAGGTAGGAATTGCTGGCGCATGGATCCGGTCAGCTGGTGCGTACCAGAGGGTCGTGTTTCCTTTGGTCACACTTCCATAGTAAGTGATTTTGTTTTGAAAAACTGATACATCACATTGCGTGGATAACGTTATGTATATGTCATTTTACAAGAAGAGCAAGAGCTATGCTTACCTAACAATTAACACACCCATCCCACAGGATGGTTTGGTGTAATTCTTCATCACTCGGGATGTTTTCCTGTCATAAGCCACAGGAGAAAGGTTTTATAGTCATTTTCCATCACTCAGGATGATTTTTCCCAATATTGCTTCGTCACATAGGTTGGTTTACAATTCATACCTTGTCACTCAAGATGGTTTGCAGTCATTTTCCATCCCAGGATAGTTTCCTTGTCGTACTCCATCATACAGGATGATTTTCTAGTCATAGTCCAACACATAGGATAGTTTTCCTGTCATACTCCACCACACAGGATGAATTTGCGCTTGACTTAAGTGAAGTCTTCCAGCTTCAACTGGGTGTCTTCGGTATTACGGACTACTGATCACCCAGGCTCAGTAGCCATCACAACCTCTTGTAGAGTTCTCTTCCCTAGCAGTGAGCTGCTGGGGTATATTGATTAGGGATTATCGTAATAGTGGCCTGATAGACGGTGGTGATAGGTGGCAATATGATTGTGAATTATTATGTGAGCAAATTACCTGCAGGAAGTTTACAGGGTATTACCTGAATTATTACCTGCAAGGAATTTGGGTGAGGTGAGCAGGACTTAGTCCCAGCAGGTCGCCGAATTGTCACTCCCTCGAAGCCCACTCCCTACCAGTCTCACGAAAAGCTAGACCTGACATTAAATTAATAATTACAATATTTAAACCAGCTACTCTCGTCAATTAAAATTGTGAACTGTATATGATTAGGCTTGCTGGATACACAAAAGAAATTCATATTACCATTTAATTACTGTAGATGGATCACTCCACAACACCTCCCAAACACCTAGACCCTACACTGGCCAGTTAGAGATCTAAACAAAGGACTAATGGCGCACTTCCTTGTGAGTAATGGTCGTATCCCTTATCTTCTGCTATCCACACGTAATTTTTGAGGTCCTGCAAATCTCCTGTCAAAGTTCTTCAGCAGGGGACATTAACACGGGCTCCTATTACAAATTCAGGCCGAAAAAAACTCATTTTGCCCACAAATTACAAATGGCGTCTCCCTGGCTCTTCCACACATCCCCTCACTAGAAAAATCTTGAAGTGTCCAAAAAGCATCACATTTTAAAACGTAATTATTATATTTTTCAAATTTAAACATGCTGAATTTAGGAAATTTCAAAATTTTTCACAATGATGTTTCAAAGCTAGACTGATTCCTAATAGAGAATTTACATCAAACATGAATGACCGTAACTGAATACGTAAAACATCTCATGGATGAAAAGCGAGACATTTACAAGCGATTCTAAAACATAGAGGGGCTATTTTATTGACCAATATATTTAATTTTGGAGAGAAGTAAAAAAAGGAATAAGGAAAGCCAAGAATAAAAAAATATGAAAATTAAGGTTGCGATTGAATCAAAGACCAAATCAAAGGGTTTCTTACTGATGTACAGGAATAAGATTAGGGAAAAGATAGGCCCACTTCAATATTACTCATGTCAGTTTACTGTTAATGACAGAGATATCAGTATCATTCAACACTTAAGAGACTGTGTGATTTTTTCTAGATTTTTCCTGATTTCTACTCCAAAGTTCGTTTTTGTTTCACCCATAACTTGAACACCTCATTTAATCGGCGTGAAATTTTAAATGCGTGTGTATGGTGACGAGGATCAAATTTCGGGAACAATTGGTATGTTCACGTGCCCTGTGACCAAAGTTGTAGGACAAGCGCCCTGGAATGGAAGGCCTGGTCGTGGACCGGGCTGCGGGGGCGTTGACCCCGGAATACCCTCCAGATAGACTCCAGGTAGATAATCCTCCGTGGAGTGACTCCGAACGTTTAAAAAAGGCGGCTCCTAATTCGACGACGGCGGATAATGAAATTCATGTGTGTAGGAGCAGATTTGATAATTTTATGTGTAAAATAATGTGGAATGTTTGTTTTTGCTAAATCACTTGAAATAAATTTCAGTTTACCTCTCCTGATCGGCTTCAAATTTTGAGGGCTGATGCATTTTATTAAGGCCAGGATAGTAGTATCCACTAAAATTTGTTTGCATCCAGACAAATTTGTTGATGTAATAAAATAAAAATCTTAAAAATGTTGGAGTTCATGTTATAACTGGAGAGTAATTAATGTGCTCGGCTTTAAATTTTGACCACTGGCGTGTTTCCTGAATGCAAGGTTCATACTGTTAATGGGTGATAAAATTCCTCATAGAAAACTGATTAAAAAAGTAGCAACACGTGATACTGGATAAATTATCTCCCGGGAAGACATACAACAGAGAGCTTCTATTAATGGGGATAAATCGGAATGGGGAGCCATTGCAAGTGGTGTACCACAGGGCTTAGTACTGGGTCCCTTGTTGTTCACAACCTACGTGAACGACTCAGATGAAGAAATAAATAGCAACAAGTAAATTTGCTGATCTCACTAAAATAGGCCGTCAAATAATTTTTGATGAGGGCACTAGAAAGCTACAGGATGACCTGGATAAGTTGATGTGGTCAGAGAGGTGGCTGATGCAGTTCAGTGCGAACAAATCCAAGGTTCTAATCCCAAAAATAAAAAAATAGCTACAGTACTTATAAGGAAAATAATAAAGAACTTAGTCATCAAAGTGAATGCGAGAAAGATCGAGGAGCTCTAATTATCAGAAATTTAAAGCCAAGAAAACAGTTTATAAGTGTTTGCAATAAAGCTAATAGAATTCTTGGGTACATATCAAGAAGTATAAATAATAGAAACCTTTCTTACGACAGTTAACTAAAGCACCAGGAGAGATACAATTGAAGCGTCCGAATGGAAAAGATGGATTAAAGTTAGACAAATTTAGATTTAGTAAGGATGTAGAGAAGTACTGGCTCGGCAGTAGAGTTGTAGATGAGTGGAACAAACTCCCAGGTAGCGTCATTGAGGCCAGAAATCTGGGTAGCTTTATTACTGTTACTGCTCTACTCACACCACCACCACCACCACCACCACCACTACTACTACTACTACTACTACTACTACTACTACTACTTACTACTACTACTGCTGCTTCATCTAGTACTGCTACCACTTCTACTACTACTACCACTTTCATTAGTACCGCTACTATTTTTACTACTACTACTACTAGTAGTAGTATTACAACTACAGCTAGTACTGCTACTACTATTACTACTCGTAGTAGTAGTAGTAATAGCAGCAATACTACTACTACTACTACTACTAGTAGTAGTAGTAGTAGTAGCAGTAATAGTGCTTCACCTAAATGAAATATTAAATACAATAATGAGGTATCGTACGTGAGGCAGTGGTGTGAGGGATGTAAACACAAGTCAGCTGATGATGACTCACTGAAGGTCATCATCATAATCATTCACTACATACTCACCTCTACCTTTAAGTAAGCCTTTATTAACAGGGTATATACACTGAGAACTGTCTCTCTCGCAGTGCATACACACTGATAATTTTACTTTAATCCGTGTTTTTAAGATTAAAATATTCTTGACTGGTGGAGAACTGGTGATATTCAGCCTTAATGACACTTTGAGTAGTTGTTACGTTAATTAAGCCTAACTAAGCAACCAAGTCTATTTATCATTCGTGTATATCGATTTTCACAATTGTTTTAGGGGCACATGGGTGTCATGGGCACACTCATAGTGCATTATGTAGACTTAGAATAACGGGTTACTCGTGGCTGAGTTGGGAGTGTCCTCAGCTCACAATGAGGGACCAGGGATTGATCCCCAGCACCAATCAAACGTTAAGAGAATATTTTGTTCGGATTTTTAACTCTGGAGAGTTAGCACCCAGGATAACCCAAGAAAGACAGTGCATTATCGAGGACTGTCTTTTTTTTTTTTTCCACTGGGGTCCTTAAATCTTGTCCCCCAGGATGCCACCCACACCAGTCGACTAACACCCATGAACCTACTTGCTTGCTAGGCAAACGGGACAGCAGGTGTAAGGAAACACGCCCAATGTTTCTACTCTTGCTGGGGATTGAACCACGGACACTTAGTGTGAGAGGCGAGTGTGTTGCCTATCAGGCCATAATTACTCCAGATGTACATTTGGAGTAACTAATGTCTTAAGTTCAAAATGTTTCCCTTTAATGAGTTCAAAAATGATTGCCTTATTTCCACTCTGTCAATATCATATACCTTTCCTTCCTCAAGATGTGGAGCCTAGATGCTGCCAAAGGGCTCTTTATCCAAGGAACTGGAGCCTCTGCCCTCTTCCTTGGATCAAACCTAATTGTGTCCTACTTCCCAGATGCCGTATAATATGTATGTTCATGTAAAGTCTTACAGAATAATTTTTATTTTATGTATGTCTTACAGTAATTTTTTAATTAGGTATAAACCGTTTCTACTTATTTTAAGGGTTTGTTCATTGAGTGTCTGAAGCAGTCTGGGTCTACATGAATGCCATAGTCTCCATCTGTCATTTCTGTGAGCTACATGGCCCTAGTGTTGTTTTCTGTACTCAGGCTTTTCGAGATCTTCTTGATCTGGATGCCTTGACTGATGCAGGAGCTTTAGAAATTTTAAATTCTAGAAACTTGGAAGATGAAGAACAGTTGAAGGTATTGTATCAATTATGATCCTTATCACTTATTAGATTCTATAAATATTGCTTGTACTGTATCTTCTTTTTGATTACATAGTACAGGTATATATTTTTCTAGTCTTTTTCACACACACATGGAAAAATTAAAATAATCAGCCTCTGTACTGAGGCAAGATAATTTAAGGAATCATAGATTTTTATTTAGTTGATAAAGATTTTTTTTTTTATTTGCAAAAAATTAATTTAAAGAGGTCTGCTTCAGTATATGTCACCAAGTACTATATACCTTAGTTAAAATATATTTCTGTAAAAAAATTGGCAGCAGTGTAAAATTCTACGACATAGTCAAATTTTCTCACATTCAGTGCTTTCAATATTCTTTTGGACTTCATTCTTAAGTTTATATGAAATATGGAAAACACATTTTCTGTGATAGTTGTATGACCCTAGTGGGTTTAGCACTTAATTATGATTGTTGCAATGTGATATTTCTGTGTATAGGAGGGTGGGTGCTGGTGCAAAAAGGAGTGATTGGTGGAATAATGAGGTAAAGAGGGTGGGTGGCATGAGAGAAAAAAGTTAGCATTAAGGGAGGTTTCAACAACGTAAAAGTGATGTATGGACGGCAGGGTATATGGAGAGTAAAAGAGAGGTTGAAAGAGTAGTCAGGGAGTGCAAAATGAGAGCCAATAATAGAGTGGGTGAAGTTTTATCAACAGATTTTACTGAATAAGAAAAAGTTTTGGAGTGAGACGAATAATAAGTTGGGAAAGCCTAAGGAAGAAATGGATTTAGAAGTTAAAATAAAGAGGGGTCATTAAATGGAGAGGCAGAGGTACCAGGAAGATGGAGGGAATATATTGAGGTGTTTTTAAATGTTGACAAAGACAGGGAGGCAGTACTTTCATGCATTGAACAGGGAGGTATAACATCTTGTAAGAATCAGGAGCCAGCTGCAAGTGTCAGAAGTACCAGAGGCAGTGGGTAGAATGTTGCTTTGGAGTGGATGGTGTATGCATGTGTTCAGTCTATGCATGAAATAGAATAGGGTACCTAAGGATTGGCAGAAAGAATACATTGTTCTTTTATAAAAGGGAAAAGATATAAAAGAGAATGTAAGACTTGTAAGGAAATAAACTTGTTGAGTATACTGGGTAAATTGTATGGTAGAGTAGTTATTGAAAGAATTAAAGGTAAAACAGAGAGTAGAATTGCAAAATTCTGCAACCTGAATGCCCATGTTAAGAGGAATGACTGCATCAGAGTTTAATGTTTTGGTGGTAGATGTTATACCTGCAGCATTTATACAAGGTTAAGTATGTACTTTCATTATAGCATATGATACTTAAAGGATGTAATTAGTGTGCTTCAAGATTTATGTATGTTTAAAGTATTGAAAGAGAAAAGTTACTTCAAAATTGTGTGTTAATAGTTGAAAGTTCTTGGGTAAACTCCAATTCACCTTTTTGTTAGTCATCTGAAGAAGCAAACAAAATTATATTCCCACCTCATAGATTTATATATCCAATTCCTACTTCAAATTTCTATGAGCTCTTCAATAAGAGTCAATAAATGTTACAGTAATGTTGTTTGCATTGGCTGTTTCCTACCAAAGAGGAAAAATTCATGAATATACGTAATTCAAATCTCTTTAAATTTTTATTTTTTAAGCTTACACATGAAGGCACAGAAGAGTTCTGGTTTATGTTTATTATTTGCTAAATCTTTTCAGGCAGAAGAAACTAATTTATGGAAGTATGGAAGGATACATAAGGAAACCTATGCTCGTTCTAAGAGCACCTCAAACGATACTTGTGTAGCATGCCGTTCATTTTCACACATCCAAGTGAGTGGTATTGCTTTTGAATTTTTTGGATTCTGTTCTAATCTTGACTACTTACTGTATTTCAACTGAGACTCCCTTTCTTTGAGAGAATACCCATGCATAACAGCTTATAATATTTCATTTTTTTATTTGCAAACATTGAAGATTCTCAGTTTGTTGATCTTTTCCTCTCCTCTCATGGGAGGTTCCTTGATGCTGGTGATTGGCTCTTGATCTAGGGAAATGGATCTGTGCTCTGGTTCCCTGAATTGAGCCTGAATATCTTCCATTTCCCCCCCCCACTGTATAATCCTACAGGTTTAGCACTCCCCCATAATTATAATAATAATAATAATTTTATCCTCTTGTTAAAGTCAATTTACAGAATATAAATCATATAGTATTTGGTAAGCTTGAGGAAAAATATTGACATTAAACACTGAAGTTCCATTGTTTACCATTTCCACTTGGCAACAGATTTACCTATATTAGCACAAATTTTGTTAACAGAACCTAATATATACTGTAGTTAAGATTCTGAAGTAGAATCTTCTTTCAACAGTCCCACCGAGGCAGGGCAATCCCAAAGAAAAAGCATAAGTTTCTCTTTTTAAATTTAGTAATATATACAGAAGAAGGGGTTACTAGCCCATTACTCCTAGCATTTTAGTCGCCTCTGACAGCACGCATGGCTTATGGAGGAAGAATCTATTCCATTTCCCCATGGAAATAAACAAGAAGAACTAGTAAGAAAATAGAAGAAAGCTCAGAGTGGTGTGTGTGTATATATATATACTTTCTTTCAACACACCGGCCGTATCCCACCGAGGCATTATGGCCCAAAAGGATAAACGAAAGTTTCTCCTTTCACACTTAGTAATATATACAGGAGAAGGGGTTACTAGCCCCTTGCTTCTGGCATTTTAGTTGCCTCTTACAACACGCATGGCTTACGGAGGAAGAATTCTGTTCCACTTCCCCATGGGGGTAAGAGGAAATAAACAAGAACAAGAACTAGAAAGAAAATAGAAGAAAACCCAGAGGGGCATGTATATACATGTATATATGCTTGTACATGTATGTGTAGTGTGGCCTAAGTGTAAGTAGAAGTAGCAAGACATACCTGAAACCTTGCATGTTATATATATATATACATGTATATATATATATATATATATATATATATATATATATATATATATATATATATATATATATTATATATATATATATATATATATATATATTTTATTTATTATCACACTGGCCGATTCCCACCAAGGCAGGGTGGCCCGAAAAAGAAAAACTTTCACCATCATTCACTCCATCACTGTCTTGCCAGAAGGGTGCTTTACACTACAGTTTTTAAACTGCAACATTAACACCCCTCCTTCAGAGTGCAGGCACTGTACTTCCCATCTCCAGGACTCAAGTCCGGCCTGCCGGTTTCCCTGAACCCCTTCATAAATGTTACTTTGCTCACACTCCAACAGCACGTCAAGTACTAAAAACCATTTGTCTCCATTCACTCCTATCAAACACGCTCACGCATGCCTGCTGGAAGTCCAAGCCCCTCGCACACAAAACCTCCTTTACCCCCTCCCTCCAACCTTTCCTAGGCCAACCCCTACCCCGCCTTCCTTCCACTACAGACTGATACACTCTTGAAGTCATTCTGTTTCGCTCCATTCTCTCTACATGTCCGAACCACCTCAACAACCCTTCCTCAGCCCTCTGGACAACAGTTTTGGTAATCCCGCACCTCCTCCTAACTTCCAAACTACGAATTCTCTGCATTATATTCACACCACACATTGCCCTCAGACATGACATCTCCACTGCCTCCAGCCTTCTCCTCGCTGCAACATTCATCACCCACGCTTCACACCCATATAAGAGCGTTGGTAAAACTATACTCTCATACATTCCCCTCTTTGCCTCCAAGGACAAAGTTCTTTGTCTCCACAGACTCCTAAGTGCACCACTCACTCTTTTTCCCTCATCAATTCTATGATTCACCTCATCTTTCATAGACCCATCCGCTGACACGTCCACGATCCCAAATATCTGAATACGTTCACCTCCTCCATACTCTCTCCCTCCAATCTGATATCCAATCTTTCATCACCTAATCTTTTTGTTATCCTCATAACCTTACTCTTTCCTGTATTCACCTTTAATTTTCTTCTTTTGCACACCCTACCAAATTCATCCACCAATCTCTGCAACTTCTCTTCAGAATCTCCCAAGAGCAACAGTGTCATCAGCAAAGAGCAGCTGTGACAACTCCCACTTTGTGTGTGAATCTTTATCTTTTAACTCCACGCTTCTTGCCAAGACCCTCGCATTTACTTCTCTTACAACCCCATCTATAAATATATTAAACAACCACGGTGACATCACACATCCTTGTCTAAGGCCTACTTTTACTGGGAAAAAATTTCCCTCTTTCCTACATACTCTAACTTGAGCCTCACTATCCTCGTAAAAACTCTTCACTGCTTTCAGTAACCTACCTCCTACACCATACACCATATATATATATATATATGTATATATATATATATATATATATATATATATATATATGTATATATATATATATATATATATAAGTATATATATATATATATATATATATATATATATATATAATATATATATATATATATATATATATATATATATATATATATATATATATATATATATATATATATATATATATATATATATATATATATATATATATATATATATATATATATGTGTGGGAAGTGGAACAGAATTCTTCCTCCGTAAGCCATGCGTGTTGTAAGAGGCGACTAAAATGCCGGGAGCAAGGGGCTAGTAACCCCTTCTCCTGTATATATTACTAAATGTAAAAGGAGAAACTTTTGTTTTTCCTTCTGGGCCACCCCACCTCGGTGGGATACGGCCGGTGTGTTGAAAGAAAGAAAGAAGTTAAATAGCTATCCAGGGTCTCCTTCACACCAAAGTCAGAGAGTTATCCAGGTTATCTTTCATAGTACATGTACTGAGGTATTGCAGGGGCATTTGATGTTGCACACATGGATGGACACCATCCAGATGACTCTTATTTAAGTGTTTTTACATGTTCTTTCATTTTTTGCAAGAAATATGAACACCCCACCCCCCCTCTTGGTTTTATCTGCTTCTTCCCTACCTTCATTTTTGGTTTAACCTGCTCCTTTCTTTCTTTTAAATTTTATCTGTTCTTTTCATTCCTTCTTTTAAGTTTTACTTGTTTCCTTCCTGCACACTTCTCATGACAAACCAGTGGCAGCAGCTTTATCTATAAGAGTAGCCAATCAACACAGACTTCTGTAGCATGTAATAAAGTTGGTAGAATTACCGACTGTATAAAGTAAAAGGACACAAGTGCAACTAATGTGACATTTTTATTGTGGCAATGTTTCGCTCTCCAGGAGGTAACGGCTTGATGAAGCTCCTGGAGAGCGAAACGTTGCCACTATAAAAATGTCACATTAGTTGCATTTGTGTCTGTTTACTTTTCTTCTGTAGCATGTTTTTTTCAGGTAATCCTGTAATACATGCGAGATATGTGAAGCCCACAGGCAGGTTTCATCATAAGGCTGCACTGCCTGAGGAATATGTTGCCTAGAAATTCTTCTTCTTCTTCTTCTTCTTCTTCTTCATTTCCTGCTACCTTTCTTGTCTTGTCTTTGTCTCCTGGCCTGTATATACTCCCTTCTTCTCTCCTTTCTGTTAGTGTGACTTTATAAATGGTCCTAGTTGGACCAAAATGTAAGTTCCCCTCTCCTATGTGCAGGTTATTTGTGTATAGCAAGCCATACTTCACCTTACATGTTTGAGACAGAAAAAAGACATCAGCAGTCCTACCATCATGTAAAACGATTACAGGTTTCCGTTTCACACTCACTTGGCAGGATGGCAGTACCTCCCCGTCTACCAGCCTACTACCTAAGCCTGAAGTAAATTTTTTTCTTTTAACATGTTAGCTGTTTCCCACCAAGGCAGGGTGACCCAAAAAGAAAAAAAAACTTTCATCATCATTCAACACTCACCATCACTCATACATAATCACTGTCTTTACACTACAGTTCTTTAAGAAACATGATAAAATTTGCCCCCTTTACATACAATGCTTCCACTGACACTTATTGTTCTTTCACCTTTGTTTTCTCTTATTGTAAATTAAAAGGACACACGTGCAACTAATGTGACATTTTTATTGTGGCAATGTTTCACTCTCCAGGAGCAAAACGTTGCCACAATAAAAATGTCACATTAGTTGCACTTGTGTACTTTTACTTTACATATTGTTGGTAATTCTACCAACTTTATTTTCTCTTATTCTTTCCTCCTTAATTTTTTTTTTTTTTTTTTTTTTTGTTAATCATTTAGATATATGACTATATTTTGAAGTATCTGCTAATTTTGTAAAACTATTTGTAAATAATTTTTTCACTTACAGCCTGGCTTTATTAGCAACGATGATTCGGCAAGAGTTAGTTATGTCAGTGCACAGTATCCATTGCAATCGGAATTATATATTCTTGTTCGAGAGGCTTGCATAAGATCACTCAGCTGTGAGGTAAGGTTAAATTGGCATTATTGATAAGCATGTATAGTATATGCATTTTTCAGTATTAGATACAGGAAATTCTGTGCAACATGCAGTTTAGCATCAGATATAACTTATAGGAAATATTTTTCTAAAAAAAAAAAAAAAGTCGTTCTCCTTTCTGAAAAATTATCAAATAAATTGGAACTAAATGATTAGTAGACTAGTATTTTGAGAAAAGATATTTTTATTTTGTAGGTATGTCCTGGAAGAGAGGGGCCTATTTACTTTGGTGATGAGTCACGTGGCCATGTGGTATCACATACCTTCTTTCTGCGAGATGTCCAAGCCAGAGGATTCCAAAGATGGTAGGGACAAAGCTGTATACATAGTTGCATTGTTGGGGGAGGATAGCTGTTAAGGCAGGAAAAAAAAAATATACTCTGAAATTATATTTAGAACTTTCAGCAATGCAATGAAAAGTAAAAAAATCTCTCCTCATGTGATGAATGGTTTTGAAAATTGACAAGTTGAAAAATTGAGACACTTATGCATCATAAGGAAATTTTTATTGAAGAAACATTTCGCCACACATTTCCAACCTTTGTTGGAAATGACAAAAGTGCTTAAAGGTTGGATTTCCAGTGGTTGTAACACTTGCTAGCTTCCCTATGCAGTATCTTTTTCCATTGTCCTTTTCTGTTTATGATGAAAGTTATTTTACTATTTTTCCAACACCATTGTTTTTCTCAGTTTATAAATGTGGCATCATTCACATTGTTTGTTGATTGTGCTAAGAAAGGAAGTTTGCTACTGTAGCATCGTTCATATTCTGTTTATTGACTGTGCTAAGAAATCGCTTAAGTCTCAAGCAACTTTTGAAATACAGCTTCTCCTCACTTAACGATGGAGTTCCATTCCTAAGATCATGTCGGTAAACAAATTCTTCACTAAGTGAGGAACATACTATAATGGCAGTGGGTTTGTATCAACCATCTTTGATATTGTTTTAATGTCACCTTTGCACCATTTATAACATTTCTGGTATATTCTTAAATGCTTATATAGTAATGTACTGTATATTGTAATAAACAGAATAGAGGAAATCTGCTCTAATATACATTATTTAGGTATGTATACTAGTCAGAGAGCCCATCATAACTCCGAGGCGTTGATAAACGAGTACGTCGCTAAGTGAGGAGAGGCTGTATGTATCTATTTCTGTAGTGCTTGGTGTATTATATTAATAAACCCTCATACATGTTAAGGGGTTTTCTCCATGCACACCTAAATGTCATTCACCTTTTTACAAACATTGTATCATGTTGAAATAAATCATTATAATTATTATTATTTGTTCCATATAGTTAAATAGTTCCTAGGTAGTAGGTTGGTAGACAGCAACCGCCCAGGGAGGTACTACCGTCCTGCCAAGTGAGTGTAAAACGAAAGTCTGTAATTGTTTTACATGATGGTAGGATTGCTGGTGTCCTTTTTTCTGTCTCATAAACATGCAGGATTTCAGGTACATCTTGCTACTTCTACTTACACTTAGGTCACACTATACATACATGTACAAGCATATATATACACACCCCTCTGGGTTTTCTTCTATTTTCTTTCTAGTTCTTGTTCTTGTTTATTTCCTTTTGCCTCCATGGGAAAGTGGAACAGAATTCTTCCTCCGTAAGCCATGCGTGTTGTAAGAGGCGACTAAAATGCCGGGAGCAAGGGGCTAGTAACCGCTTCTCCTGTATATATTACTAAATGTAAAAGGAGAAACTTTCGTTTTTCCTTTTGGGCCACCCCACCTTGGTGGTATACGGCCGGTGTGTTGAAAGAAAGAAAGAAGTTAAATAGTTATCCAGGGTCTCCTTCACACCAAAGTCAGAGAGTTATCCAGGTTATCTTTCATAGTACAGTGGACCCTCGACTAACGCTATTAATCCGTTCCTGAGGGCTCATCGTTAGTCAAAATTATCGTTAGTCAAATTAATTTTCCCCATAAGAAATAATGGAAATCAAATTAATCCGTGTAGGACACCCCAAAGTATGAAAAAAAATTGTTTTTACCACATGAAATATTAATTTTAATACACACAAACTGAAGAAGACATGCACAGTTACATGACACTTACCTTTATTGAAGATCAGGTGATGATTGATGGGATGGGAGGAAGGGAGAGTGTTGATGGTCTTAGTGTTTAGAAGGGGAATCCCCTTCCATTAGGACTTGAGGTGGCAAGTCCTTTTCCGGGGTTACTTCCCTTCCCTTTAAATCTCTCAAACCAACCTTTGCTGGCCTTAAATTCACTCACATCACCACTAGTTGCTGGCATTTTTTTAATTAAATCGTCATGCAACTTCCTAGCCTTTTCACATATGATCGCTTGAGAGATGCTATCTCCTGCTATCTGTTTTTCGTTTATCTACACCAATAACAGTCTCTCAACATCTTCGAGTGCTTGCGATCTCAGTTTCGAAAACATAGTTGGACCTTTGGCAAGAACAGCTTCCTTAAGATAAGATAAGATAAGATTTCGTTCGGATTTTTAACCCCGGAGGGTTAGCCACCCAGGATAACCCAAGAAAGTCAGTGCGTCATCGAGGACTGTCTAACTTATTTCCATTGGGGTCCTTAATCTTGTCCCCCAGGATGCGACCCACACCAGTCGACTAACACCCAGGTACCTATATGCTGCTAGGTGAACAGGACAACAGGTGTAAGGAAACATGTCGAATGTATCCACCCGCCGGGAATCGAACCCGGGCCCTCCGTGTGTGAAGCGGGAGCTTTAGCCACCAGGCCACCGGGCCATTTTCTTGCCCACAATAGTAGCGATGGTTGATTCAGGTTTTGTGTACAACTTGGCCAGCTCGGAGACACGCACTCCACTTTCATACTTAGCAATGATCTCTTTCTTCATATCCATAGTAATTCTCACCCTTTTTGCTGTAGGGTTGGCACTAGAAGCTTTCTTGGGCCCATGGTGACTTATTTTGCAGGTGCAATAACTAAAAAGGCTGTGATAATATGAAATGTTCCGATTGTATGCTTGGAAGTGACTGCGGTGGCTGGCTGGCTTGTAAACACTGGCCAGAAGTGGACGCATCTCAGACAGAACGAATAGTGTTGGTCGAGTTTTTTAGCGCTAGTCGAGGCAAAATTTTTGTGTTAAAATGTATTGCTAGTCGGATTTATCGTTAATCGATGCCATCGTTGGTCGAGGGTCCACTGTACTGAGGTATTGCAGGGGCATTTGATGTTGCACACATGGACGGACACCATCCAGATGACTCTTATTTAAGTGTTTTTACATGTTCTTTCATTTTTTGCAAGAAAATATGAACACCCCACCCCCCCTCTTGGTTTTATCTGCTTCTTCCCTACCTTCATTTTTGGTTTAACCTGCTCCTTTCTTTCTTTTAAATTTTATCTGTTCTTTTCATTCCTTCTTTTAAGTTTTACTTGCTTCCTTCCTGCACACTTCTCATGACAAACCAGTGGCAGCAGCTTTATCTATAAGAGTACCCAATCAACACAGACTTCTGTAGCATGTAATAAAGTTGGTAGAATTACCAACTATATAAAGCAAAAGGACACAAGTGCAACTAATGTGACATTTTTATTGTGGCAATGTTTCGCTCTCCAGGAGGTAACGGCTTGACGAAGCTCCTGGAGAGCGAAACGTTGCCACAATAAAAATGTCACATTAGTTGCATTTGTGTCCGTTTACTTTTCTTCTGTAGCATGTTTTTTTCAGGTAATCCTGTAATACATGCGAGATATGTGAAGCCCTCAGGCAGGTTTCATCATAAGGCTGCACTGCCTGAGGAATATGTTGCCTAGAAATTTAAAACTAAATTTTATATTTTTTTAACATCATCTTACAATATTTTTTTCAACACGCTGGCCATCTCCCACCGAGACAAGATGACCCAAAAAAGAAAGAAACACTTTCACCATTATTCAACACTTTCACCATCATTCACATATAATCACTGTCTCTGCAGAGGCGTGCAGATGTGACAGTTCAGGTGTCACTCCAAACAGCAAATATCCCAAACCCCTTCTTTAAAGTGCAGGCACTGTATTTCCCACCTCCAGGACTCAAGTCCAGCTAACTGGTTCCCCTGAATACCTTCACAAATTATTACCCTGCACACATTCCAACAGCTTGTCAAGTCCCCAAAAAACCATTCATCTCCATTCACTCCTATCTAACATGTTGTGTACGAATGGTATATAATACCGACAAGATGAGAGTAAGACACATATGCAACATCTGGGTATCTTTATTGTAGACGTTTCGCCATCCAGTGGCTTTATCAATACAAAATCTAGGACATAACTTGAAGACAGTAGAACTATGTACAGAAGATGAGGTAATCAGTCCCTCAACCTAGGAGTAGGTGCGAACAGCACCTACTCCTACTCCTAGTCGTGGAGAATCTCCACGACTAGGGTGCTGTTCGCACCTACTCCTAGGTTGAGGGACTGATTACCTCATCTTCTGTACATAGTTCTACTGTCTTCAAGTTATGTCCTAGATTTTGTATTGATAAAGCCACTGGATGGCGAAACGTCTACAATAAAGATACCCAGATGTTGCATATGTGTCTTACTCTCATCCTATCTAACATGCTGACACATGCCTGCTGTATGTCCAAGCCCCTTGCACACAAACCCTCTTTTACCCCCTCCCTCCATCCTTTCCTAGGATGACCCCTACCCCTCCTCCCCTCCACTACAGATTTATTCACCCTCCAAGTCATTTTATTTTGCTCCATCCTTTCTAAATGACCAGACCACTTCAACAACCCCTCCTCAGTCCTCTGAATAATACTTTTAGTAAACTCCACACCTCCTGATTTCCACACTGTGAATTCTCTGCATAATATTTACACCGCACATCGCCCTTAGACACGACATCTCCACTATGTACCTCCAGCCTGCCCCTTGCTGCAGGATTTACAACCCATGCTTCACACCCATATAAGAGTGTTGGTACTGCTATACTCTCATTCATTTCCTTCTTTGCCTCCATGGCTAGCATTCTTTGTCTCCACAAATACCTTGATGCACCATCCACTTTTTTTCCTTCATCAGATCTGTGGTTTACCTCGTCCTTCATAAACCCATCCGCTGACAAGTCTACTCCTAAATATCTGAATACATTCTCTTCTTCCATACTCCCTCCCTCCAATGTTATATCCAATTTCTCTTTACCTAACTCAGCAGCAAGTAGTATTAGTAGTAGTAGTATTGATAGAAGTAGAAATAAGAAGGTAATTGATATTAGTAATAATGAAAAAAAAGGCAGTGTAGTATAAGCTAAGAAATAGTAGTAGTAGTATCAGTAGTAGTAATAATGGAGATAGTCTATAAGAACAAATGAGCAAAGGAGTGTTGCAGGAGAGCTACTGACCCATAGAACTAGGACAAAATCCCCTGCAGGACAAAACTCCATAGGAGAGAACCCACCTAAGCAGAAGACAGGAGAGGAAATGAAAGTATAGAAAGATGAAATGGTAAGAAGAGGAGACAACGAAGATCAGGTCAAGTCATGAGCATTTTGAATTTCAGAGCTTTTGAGAATGTAATGAGAAAAACATCTATAGGACAAAGCCAGGAATAAGATTCATATTAGGAATGTTGTTTATAAGGGATGCTTCAACAAGATAGCATCTGTGAAAGCTAATAGGATGATTAATCTATAACATGACCAAAGGGCATTGTTAGTGGTGGCAAGGCTAATGCTTCTTTTGTGTTTTGAAGGTCTGTTAGAAAGCAAGCTGCCAGTTTCTCCAAAGTATTGGAGAGGACAAGAGCAGGAAAGGAGTAGACTTCCAAAGCATCTGTGGTAGGAGGAAGAGGTACTAGTTCGTGCCTGTCTTGCCACTGATGCTTCCAGTGCCCAAAATACATTGCATAATTAGCGGCTTTCTTTTGTGCCTACTATTTTATTCTTGTATCTACCCAGGTATTCACATTATCTGTATGCTCAGAGAAATAAAGAATTATCATTATTATCATTACAAGACCAAATGTGACATTCATATTGTGTATTTACATTGGGTGTTAATTATTTTATTTATTATCACACTGGCCTATTCCCACCAAGGCAGGGTGGCCCGATAAAGAAAAACTTTCACCATCATTCACTCCATCACTGTCTTGCCAGAAGGGTGCTTTACACTACAGTTTTTAAACTGCAACATTAACACTCCTCCTTCAGAGTGCAGACACTGTACTTCCCATCTCCAGGACTCAAGTCCGGCCTGCCGGTTTCCCTGAACCCCTTCATAAATGTTACTTTGCTCACACTCCAACAGCACGTCAAGTATTAAAAGCCATTTGTCTCCATTCACTCCTATCAAACACGCTCACGCATGCCTGCTGGAAGTCCAAGCCCCTCGCACACAAAACCTCCTTTACCCCCTCCCTCCAACCTTTCCTAGGCCGACCCCTACCCCGCCTTCCTTCCACTACAGACTGATACACTCTTGAAGTCACTCTGTTTCGCTCCATTCTCTCTACATGTCCGAACCACCTCAACAACCCTTCCTCAGCCCTCTGGACAACAGTTTTGGTAATCCCGCACCTCCTCCTAACTTCCAAACTACGAATTCTCTGCATTATATTCACACCACACATTGCCCTCAGACATGACATCTCCACTGCCTCCAGCCTTCTCCTTGCTGCAACATTCATCACCCATGCTTCACACCCATATAAGAGCGTTGGTAAAACTATACTCTCATACATTCCCCTCTTTGCCTCCAAGGACAAAGTTCTTCGTCTCCACAGACTCCTAAGTGCACCACTCACCCTTTTCCCCTCATCAATTCTATGATTCACCTCATCTTTCATAGACCCATCCGCTGACACGTCCACTCCCAAATATCTGAATACATTCACCTCCTCCATACTCTCTCCTCCAATCTGATATCCAATCTTTCATCACCTAATCTTTTTGTTATCCTCATTACCTTACTCTTTCCTGTATTCACTTTTAATTTTCTTCTTTTGCACACCCTACCAAATTCATCCACCAACCTCTGCAGCTTCTCTTCAGATTCTCCCAAGAGCACAGTGTCATCAGCAAAGAGCAACTGTGACAACTCCCACTTTATGTGTGATTCTTTATCTTTTAACTCCACGCCTCTTGCCAAGACCCTCGCATTTACTTCTCTTTCAACCCCATCTATAAATATATTAAACAACCACGGTGACATCACACATCCTTGTCTAAGGCCTACTTTTACTGGGAAATAATTTCCCTCTTTCCTACATACTCTAACTTGAGCCTCACTATCCTCGTAAAAACTCTTCACTGCTTTCAGTAACCTACCTCCTACACCATACACTTGCAACATCTGCCACATTGCCCCCCTATCCACCCTGTCATATGCTTTTCCAAATCCATAAATGCCACAAAGACCTCTTTAGCCTTATCTAAATACTGTTCACTTATATGTTTCACTGTAAACACCTGGTCCACACATCCTTTACCTTTCCTAAAGCCTCCTTGTTCATCTGCTATCCTATTCTCCGTCTTACTCTTAATTCTTTCAATAATAACTCTACCATACACTTTACCAGGTATACTCAACAGACTTCTTCTTTCTTTCAACACACCGGCCGTATCCCACCGAGGCGGGGTGGCCCAAAAGGAAAAACGAAAGTTTCTCCTTTTACATTTAGTAATATATACAGGAGAAGAGGTTACTAGCCCCTTGCTCCCGGCATTTTAGTTGCCTCTTACAACACGCATGGCTTACGGAGGAAGAATTCTGTTCCACTTCCCCATGGAGATAAGAGGAAATAAACAAGAATAAGAACTAGAAAGAAAATAGAAGAAAACCCAGAGGGGTGTGTATATATGTGCTTGTACATGTATGTGTAGTGTGACCTAAGTGTAAGTAGAAGTAGCAAGACGTACCTGAAATCTTGCATGTTCATGAGACAGAAAAAAGGACACCAGCAATCCTACCATCATGTAAAACAATTACAGGCTTTCGTTTTACACTCACTTGGCAGGACGGTAGTACCTCCCTGGGCGGTTGCTGTCTACCAACCTACTACCTATACTCAACAGACTTATCCCCCTATAATTTTTGCACTCTCTTTTATCCCCTTTGCCTTTATACAAAGGAACTATGCATGCTCTCTGCCAATCCCTAGGTACCTTACCCTCTTCCATACATTTATTAAATAATTGCACCAACCACTCCAAAACTATATGCCCACCTGCTTTTAACATTTGTATCTTTATCCCATCAATCCCGGCTGCCTTACCCCCTTTCATTTTACCTACTGCCTCACGAACTTCCTCCACACTCACAACTGGCTCTTCCTCACTCCTACAAGATGTTATTCCTCCTTGCCCTATACACGAAATCACAGCTTCCCTATCTTCATCAACATTTAACAATTCCTCAAAATATTCCCTCCATCTTCCCAATACCTCTAACTCTCCATTTAATAACTCTCCTCTCCTATTTTTAACTGACAAATCCATTTGATCTCTAGGCTTCCTTAACTTGTTAATCTCACTCCAAAACTTTTTCTTATTTTCAACTAAGTTTGTTGATAACATCTCACCCACTCTCTCATTTGCTCTCTTTTTACATTGCTTCACCACTCTCTTAACCTTTCTCTTTTTCTCCATATACTCTTCCCTCCTTGCATCACTTCTACTTTGTAAAAACTTCTCATATGCTAACTTTTTCTCCCTTACTACTCTCTTTACATCATCATTCCACCAATAGCTCCTCTTCCCTCCCGCACCCACTTTCCTGTAACCACAAACTTCTGCTGAACACTCTAACACTACATTTTTAAACCTATCCCATACCTCTTCGACCCCATTACCTATGCTCTCATTAGCCCATCTATCCTCCAATAGCTGTTTATATCTTACCCTAACTGCCTCCTCTTTTAGTTTATAAACCTTCACCTCTCTCTTCCCTGATGCTTCTATTCTCCTTGTATCCCATCTACCTTTTACTGTCAGTGTAGCTACAACTAGACAGTGGTCTGATATATCTGTGGCCCCTCTATAAACATGTACATCCTGAAGTCTACTCAACAGTCTTTTATCTACCAATACATAATCCAACAAACTACTGTCATTTCGCCCTACATCATATCTTGTATATTTATTTATCCTCTTTTTCATAAAATATGTATTACCTATAACTAAACCCCTTTCTATACAAAGTTCAATCAAAGGGCTCCCATTTTCATTTACACCTGGCACCCCAAACTTACCTACCACACCCTCTCTAAAAGTTTCTCCTACTTTAGCATTCAGGTCCCCTACCACAATTACTCTCTCACTTGGTTCAAAGGTTCCTATACATTCACTTAACATCTCCCAAAATCTCTCTCTCTCCTCTACTTTCCCTCTCTTCTCCAGGTGCATACACGCTTATTATGACCCACTTTTCGCATCCAACCTTTACTTTAATCCACATAATTCTTGAATTTACACATTAATATTCTCTTTTCTCCTTCCATAACTGATCCTTCAACATTACTGCTACCCCTTCCTTTGCTCTAACTCTCTCAGATACTCCAGATTTAATCCCATTTATTTCCCCCCGCCGAAACTCCTCTACCCCCTTCAGCTTTGTTTCGCTTAGGGCCAGGACATCCAACTTCTTTTCATTCATAACATCAGCAATCATCTGTTTCTTGTCATCCGCACTACATCCACACATATTCAAGCATCCCAGTTTTATAAAGTTTTTCTTCTTCTCTTTTTTAGTAAATGTCTACAGGAGAAGGGGTTACTAGCCCATTGCTCCCGGCATTTTAGTCGCCTCATACGACACGCATGGCTTACGGAGGAAAGATTCTTTTCCACTTCCCCATGGACAATAGAAGAAATAAAGAAGAACAAGAGCTATTTAGAAAAAGGAGAAAAACCTAGATGTATGTATATATATATGCATGTGCGTGTCTGTGAAGTGTGACCAAAGTTTAAGTAGGAGTAGCAAGATATCCCTGTTATCTAGCGTGTTTATGAGACAGAAAAAGAAACCAGCAATCCTACCATCATGCAAAACAGTTACAGGTTTCTGTTTCACAGTCATCTGGCAGGACGGTAGTACTTCCCTGGGTGGTTGCTGTCTACCAACCTACTACCTGGGTGTTAATGTTTTCATCATTGCACCTACAGTTCAGGTATTCCTCCATCAAATCACATGTCTCAGATGAGATAGGATAGTACATTCAACTTAAAATAAACTAACATTGACCATTTACTGGTATTAATTTATTATTTCAGGTATAGCATTTTAATACTCATGAAAGACAAAATGCTGTTGCTTAACTCATGGCCATTTATAGTACGACACCTTCGACAGACTATCACCCACCTTCAAGAAAATGCTTACAAGGTAAATGCAATTATTTCTGGAGTAAACTGTAAAAATTTTCATATCATTTATTATTTTACTACTTAATGTATATTTGTTTTAAAGACTGTGGCATAATAATTCCAAGAGCAATGTGTGGTGTAAATATTATGCAGAAAATTCGGAGTGTGGAAATTAGGAGAAGGTGTGGAGTTAATAAAAGTATTAGTCAGAGGGCTGAAGAGGGGTTGTTGAGGTGGTTTGGTCATGTAGAGAGAATGGATCAAGGTAGAATGACATGGAGAGCGTATAAATCTGTAGGGGAAGGAAGGCGGGGTAGGGGTCGTCCTCGAAAAGGTTGGAGGGAGGGGGTAAAGAATGTGTTGTGTGCGAGGGGTTTGGACTTCCAGCAAGCGTGCGTGAGCGTGTTAGATAGGAGTGAATGGAGACAAATAGTATTTGGGACCTGACGATCTGTTGGAGTGTGAGCAGGGTAATATTTAGTGAAGGGATTCAGGGAAACCGGTTATTTTATATAACCGGACTTGAGTCCTGGAAATGGGAAGTATAATGCCTGCACTCTAAAGGAGGGGTTTGGGATATTGGCAGTTTGGAGAGATATATTGTGTATTTTTATACGTATATACTTCTAAGCTGGTGTATTCTGGGCACCTCTGCAAAAACAGTGATTATGTGTGAGTGAGGTGAAAGTGTTGAATGATGATGAAAGTATTTTCTTTTCGGGGATTTTCTTTCTCTTTGGATCACCCTGCCTCGGTGGGAGATGGCCGACTTGTTGAAAAAAAAAAATACATATATGAGAGTAGCATAACTTTTCTTGTCTTTGCAGGTATATCAGAATGAAGAATCAAAAGTAAGCCACCGATCATTACGATCAGCGGTTTTCATGGACAATTTTCGCAAACAGCGTGGTATGGATAAAATAAACTTTCTTTCCTAGATTGAAATAGTTTCTCTCATAGTCATGCTAATTCTTTCATTATGTACAGAATTTAAATACAAGTTTGGAATCAGTCAATCAGTGTGAAGTTCCTAGAAGTACCAAAATTAAAAATCTGCAATTAATGTAGCACTTGATACTATTTATATACATAATGAATTTTGTTAAAGATTTGGGGTCATTTTACATTAATGAAGCCAACCTCTTTTAGTATTGCTCTAATATGGCATTGACATTCACAAGAAAGAATATCTAGTCAAAGAAAAGAGATTTTAGTGTGGAAAATCCAGTGAACAAATTTTAAACAAAATTGGATGGCTAGTTTTCAATTTAGGGTCCATATTCTAAGCCAAAAGAAAATGAGCACTGCAAAAAATGCAAATTTGGAAAACAATAAATTCGTAAGTTCATTTGCACTTTTATAGACCTTAGACTACAAGAGAATTTTGAGGAATAATTCTTGTAAATTTGTCCAATAGCTTTCCATCAGTCCTCAATATACACAGCAGTTTTAAATGACACTACAGTTTTCCTCATCCTCTTTGACCTATCAAAGGACAGAATGCCCTGGTACTGGTGAAGGGCTCTTGATCCAAGGAATTAGTTATACTATTTCCTTGGATCAGAGTTTATTTCCCATTCCCCAGGCACTTTGTCTCTTATGGGTTTAGAATTTCCCCCTGAATATAATAGTAATCATTCTCTCTCAAGACATACAGGTGTTCATTATGATACATGAAGTCACAAAATATTTAAAATAAAAAGATTTTAGATGAAATTTATTTTAGCATATTTCTCTAAGTATCTGACTTGAATGTTTTGACCAATTAGGTATTTTCATTATTTTAAAGTGAATGTTGTGATACATTGAAGTCAGTTTTACTTAATGCAAAGTAACTTTAAATAGTTAGGAAGAATTTTCAAGTTTTTACATGAATAGAATTTTTTTCAAGGAAGAGTGCATGATATTGGGGAAAGGCTCTTTACCCAGGTAATTTGAGTCATCCTCCCCTTCCTTGGATCAAATCTGATTACTTTCTCCACTTCCTAATTGCTCTACAACTCTTATGGGTATAGTGCTATCCCATGAATGAGATGTCAAGGAAGGGTGTTGTACAAAGAACTGGTCACTATCTAGTCAGTGCTGTAATTTGGCTAGCCTTTTCTTGAGGGCTGCCTCTGTGTACAGCTTTTGGAGAGTAAGAATTTTTTTTGAGGAATGATATACTGTACATAATGGTTATTTTCTCAGTATAATTATTCCTTCAGTGACTGGCCAACCCAGATCCCTATCTGAACTTGTCGGTGAACGAGAAGTTTGGCAGCATTTACACTCCTCATTTACATGGCTTTTGAAGGCTGGAGGATTGAGGCTTCAGGAGAGACTTATTGAAGGCCCTCCTGTTAACATCTATATTGCAGATGGTTCAGGTACTGGTAATGGTAAGTATCACAGCTTGACTTATGTGTAAGTGAAGAAATTATTTTTATCATTCAGTTTGTACAAAAGCCAGGATGAATTAGCAAAAATAACATTCACCATCAATTGTTCACTTACATGAACACACAAGTGACTTTTTTTTAAGGTAAACAATACCTAATACTTGGTAAAAAGTTTTTATGCAGATAATAAAGCTTAGGTTAGGACATATAGTCACCATGGTTTAATATATTTATGAATGAATGTTAGGGTGTTTGGGAGAGGTGTGCAATTAAAAGAAATAATGAATCTGATGCAAAAATGGGAGTTATCACAGATCTTTTGAAAGATTCTGAAGAGAACTTACTTTGATTGGTGGATGAATCTGAGTGTGTGTATAAAAAGAAAGAAATTAAAAGTAAACAGTAAAGAGAAAGGTGACGAGATAACAGAAACCTAGGCAATGAGAGATTTGAGAGGAGGAGGAAGTGAATGTATTCAGATATTTGGGTCACAGCTGACCTAGAGACTGTTGACTGGCCTACAGAATTCTCCAAGGCCAATGGTATTGATGACTGGACAGACATTTTTCTTAACAAATTACTTAGACTATACAACAAACATTGTCCTATAAAAACGAAACAGATCACAAACAAACGGCTTGGTTGCCCATGGCTAACCAGCACCATTCTAAAATCCATTGATAAGAAACACCAATATGAAAAGCAATATAGACAGGGCCTAATACACAAAGATATTCTTAAACACTATTCATCAGTCCTCACCAAAGTAATAAAGAAAGCCAAACAACTATACTACAGTAGATTCACTGACACAAGAGGAGATATAAAAAAGACCTGGAAAACACTCTCTCAGATTCTAGGGACCCACAAACTGAAAAAAAACAAGAATATTGTCCTAACTAAACCTAATGAAACACCACTGCATCCCACTGACACAGCTAACAAGATAAACGACTTCTTCTCAACCATAGGTTCTAATCTCACCAATAAAATCCCACGTACCAATGTCCATGCCGGGGACTACCTAGATGGGAATTTCCCAAATTCCTTCTATCTTGCTCCAGCGGAGCCCACGGAAATCACCGAGATTATAAAGTCACTTAAAAATAACTCAGGGAATCTGTCTCATGTCCCACCATTATTGTACAAGAGAGCGGCCCATGTCCTCTCGCATGCTATCTCATTACTTTTTAACAAGTCACTAGAAACTAGCACCTTCCCGAAACTACTCAAGACGGCAAGGGTTACACCATTACATAAAGGTGGTGACCCTACAGATTTAAACAACTATAGGCCAATATCAAACTTACCATTGCTATCCAAAATCTTTGAGAAACTCGTGCACAGGAGACTATATTCATTTATAACGGCACAAAACATACTCAACCCCTGCCAATTTGGATTCAGGAAAAATAAAAGCACTAACGATGCAATCATAAAAATGCTAGATCTGCTTTACACAGCATTGGAAAATAAGGAATATCCACTAGGAATTTTTATTGACCTAAGAAAAGCTTTTGACACAGTAGACCAGGGCATCCTACTCCACAAACTTGACCATTATGGTATAAGAGGCCATGCGCTTGCATATTTCAAATCTTACCTTACTAATAGGTATCAGTATGTCACCATTAAAGACACAGCATCAACAACACAGCCACTTGATACTGGAGTTCCGCAGGGAAGTGTCCTTGGTCCCCTGCTCTTCCTCGTATACATCAATGATCTTCCAAACGTATCTCAACACCTGAACCCCATTCTCTTTGCTGACGACATGACTTATGTCATCTCTCACCCTAATCTTGCCACCCTCAACACTATTGTTAATGAGGAACTGATCAAAATATCGACGAAAAAGCGAGGGACCACTGTACTTACACAAGCAGTGTGTTTACATTACGTAATCTTTATTATTTAAATCCATCGTGTTCTGTATATTTTCAGGGCTTAGTGTACGGGAGTTATACAACACACTAGGTGGCAGTATCTTTCATCGCATGATGCATCACCTCCTTATTGGTCGACAAGTCATCTTGAGAGGTTCATCTACAAAAATAATATCTGCCTTAATTCATTCATTACAGGTGAGGCTTTTGCTGATAGTTTTCTTTGTTATTAAATTGCACTGTATGTTATTTTATATATAATCTATGTATGGCTTTTTATATATAATCTATGTATGGTATGGCAGTGTAATTATTATAATCAGGGGAAAACACTGAACTCATAAATGTCTCATAGTGCCTGGGGAATCAGAGACAGTCAGGTTCAATAAAAGCAGGGCAGGGCAACTTCCTTGTATGAAGTCCCCCCATCCTCCTCACTGGCATCACTACACTTCCTGTGAGGTGTGACATTATGTATAATTGATTACTACTTAACAGAGTTTCAGATTGAAATATACAGTATGTAATAAGAATTTCATAATATTGTGACAGTAACAAAGGTCTTGTTGCATGGGGTGAGAACCAATTTCCTATATAGGATAGAAAAGTAATACTATAGAATACAAAAGGATAAATATTTTTATTGTCACTTTCTTTTCATACATTTTATATTCACCATCATGGGGGAGTGCTAAACCCATAGGATTATACAGTGCATGTGGGGAGGGAGGGTGGAAGGTATTCAGGCTCAATTCAGGGAACTGGAGCACAGATACAATTCCCTAGATCAGGAGCCTCTCACCAGTGTCAAGGAACCTCCCTCGAGGGGACACAGTCATCACAGAAAACTAGTACTGTATTGTTCTCCCACTTTCTGGTTAATACTCCAGGGATATTTGCAGTTTTGAACTGTAGTATCAGTGCCTCTCTGGCATGAGTGATAGTGAAAGTGTTTTGTTTTTTTTGGGCCACCTTGGCTTAGTGGGAAATGGCCAATGTGTTAAAAAAAATCCAGAACAGTATCTCAGCTGCTTTATTGTCTCTAAAACAAATTGCAAGTGTCCAGAACTGCCTTTACTACAATCAAGGACATCACCAATGGAAATAAGTCACCTTGTCTGACTTTTTGGGGTTATCCTAGGTTCTCTACATGTATGCTGCTATGTATGATAATCTATGTGTAACTGTATTTGTGTATACCTGAATAAACTTACTTGCCAATAATGGATACCACGCAAAGCAAAAAACTACAGCAGGGGGTATACACAGTCCCTTGCAGTGACTGTGACCAAATGTATGAGGGATAAACATCAATACATTTCCACATATGCATTTCTGAACACAAATATGTCAGCAGAATTGACCACTTGAACAACACCTATGTTTCTCACAGAAACGACCATAATGCCTTGATCATTTACAGTGTCATATGATTGTCAGGGAAGACACTTCAGAATGCAGGATCCTGGAATCATCACTAATCAGTATGTTAAACAACTTTAACATAGCCGAACCTCTTGCCTGGAAACTTCTTGATTGCTATCCTTTTCCTAGTCAGTGGCATCATAAGGGGAGAGGGTGCCCTGGGTGACACCATTTAGTCTCTCACATAATCTCTCCTGTTAATACTACACAAGCATATTACAGAGAATGAACATTGAAACAGGCCTTCTCTATCCAGCCTCCAATAGAAATATTTGTCTAACCTATTTTTATGTTACCCAAGTAATAACTTTTACATCCTTTTACTCATGTGCAAGTTAATTGTTCTACCATATTTTATTACTACTACTACAACTTATATCACTACTACTACTACTACCACTAGTATTGCACCTCACTTTGAGCCTACATATACCCTCTGTGTCCATGTACTGTTTGTAACGGCTTGACAAAGCTCCTGGAGAGCGAAACATTGCCACAATAAAAATGTCACATTAGTTGCACTTGTGTCCTTTTACTTTACATATTGTCGGTAATTCTACCAACATTATTACAAACTCAGTCCTCAAGACCACATGATACAGGGAGACCATCTTAAGTGCCTTCAGGCACTTAGGGTAAGGTAAGACTTTGGACATTAAATTACAGAAGGTGCCTTCAACGTGGCATACTTTAATGACCATGACTGTGTATGCCCTAGGTAGTAGGTTGGTAGACAGCAACCACCAAGGGAGGTACTACCATCCTGCCAAGTGAGTATAAAATGGAAGCCTGTAGTTGTTTTATATAATGGTAGGATTGTTGGTGTCTTTTTCCTGTCTCGTAAACAGTCAACATTTCAGGTACGTCTTGCTACTTCTACTTGCACTTAGGTCACACTACATATGCATGTACAAGCATATATATACACACACCCCTCTCGGTTTTCTTCTCTTTTGTTACTAGTTCTTGTTCTTGTTTATTTCCTCTTTATCTCCATGGGGAAGTGGAACAGAATACTTCCTCTGTAAGCCATGCATGTTGTAAGAAGCAACTAAAATGCCAGGAGCAAGGGGTTAGTAACCCCTTCTCCTGTATACATTACTAAATTTATAAAGAGAAACTTTTGTTTTTCTTTTTTGGGCCACCCTGCCTTGGTGGGATATGGCTGGTGCATTGAAAGAAGAGAAGAACGGTATGCACATTCTCTCTCCCCAGGTAGATCTTTTGGTGACTTGATAAAGTCCACTGTGTGGCCAAAGCATTACCAGTGAAGAATTGCATTCTACTGCTTTTGTGTGTTTATCCATCTGACCAGTACTGTTTGATACTGTTTTTCATGCATTTCTGTCAATATTTTTCATTACACATTTTTGCCACATTCCAAATTAGCTTTTTTTTTTTTTCTTATTTTTTACACTTTGAATTTAAATTGTTTTCTTCACTTTATCACTGATGAACATGACCATACTATCTTACCACACCTTTCTTAATGTGTTTGTCTCTAATGCTTTAAATTAATTGTCATGCTCAACTGTTCCTTCAAGCAGCACTTTAGCTGGAGTCCTTCATATCTTGATTACTTACCTTGGACTTTCATTTTACCATCCATTCAGCTTATCTGTCTCTGGTCTAACCTTTGTTTGCAAAAATTCCTCTCTAACATGTATCATATTATTAAGGTATACAATACCAACAAGCTACATGATGAGATACATGATGATATACACTTGGAAGGTCCTGGAGGGATTGTTACCAAACCCGCACATGAAAATCACTCCCTACGAAAGCAAAAGACTTGGCAGGAGATGCAACATTCCTCCAATGAAAAGCAGGGTTGCAACGAGTACATTGAGAGACAAAACAATAAGTGTCTAGGGTCCAAGACTGTTCAACTGCCTCCCAGCCTACATAAGGGGGATTACCAATAGACCCCTGGCTGTCTGTAAGAAGGCACTCCTGCCAGCATACTCCACCAATTTTCAAAAGTCTGAATCTGCTCACCATTAAGAACATCCATACTTATTCATGTGCCTACTACATACACAGAACAATACACGCAAATATAAACCCTCCACTCAAACTTCTTCTCACCAACCTTAGCAGGACACATGACCATAACACAAGACACAGATCTCTTCTTGATATACCTCATGTCCATATCACACTGTGTAAAAACTCGATGCACATAAAGGGCCCCAAAATTTGGAATTCATTACCAGAAGATACTACAGTAACCCAGTCTGAAAATCAATTTAAGACTCTTCTCAAAAGCCACTTAATCACCCTAGACTAAATGCTAAATACTCAGTACACACATACTTATGTATTCCCACATCATAATTTCAACAATTACTTTGAGCCTTTTATCCATTGTTGACAGGAATATAATTGAATCATTGTTTTCACAAAAAGCATTTTTGAATCATTGTTTTCACAAAAAGCATTTTATGAATATCTTCTTTCAACACACCGGCTGTATCCCACCGAGGCGGGGTGGCCCAAAAGGAAAAACAAAAGTTTCTCCTTTTACATTTAGTAATATATACAGGAGAAGGGGTTACTTGCCCCTTGCTCCTGGCATTTTAGTTGCCTCTTACAACACGCATGGCTTACGGAGGAAGAATTCTGTTCCACTTCCCCATGGAGATAAGAGGAAATAAACAAGAACAAGAACTAGAAAGAAAATAGCAGAAAACCCAGAGGGGTGTGTATATATATGCTTGCACATGTATGTGTTGTGTGACCTAAGTGTAAGTAGAAGTAGCAAGACGTACCTGTAATCTTGCATATTTATGAGACAGACAAAAGACACCAGCAATCCTACCATCATGTAAAACAATTACAGGCTTTCGTTTCACACTCACTTGGCAGGACGGTAGTACCCCCCTGGGTGGTTGCTGTCTACCAACCTACTACCTATAATTTTTTTTTGAATATATGAATATATATTTTGTCTTATATAAATTAGATTCACTTATAATTAATAATCTACTGTACAACTATGATATAATTAATAATCTACTGTACAACTATGATATAATTAATATTCTACGGTACAACTGTGACATAATTCTTAGTGTTAAGTAGTCTGTAAGCCAATAATGTTAAGTCGGCCCATAATGCCTAAGCATAACAGAGGCTCTCTTTGCATTGCAACCCATTATTGTAAATACAAAATCTCAATGTACTATTTGCAAAGACATAAATAAATAAATAAATAAAGTCAGTACCTGACCAACCGGGCTGTGGTTCATACGTCAGCTTGCGTGTGGCCAGTAGTAACAGCCTGGTTGATCAGACCCTGATCCACCGTGAGACCTGGTCTCAGACCGAGCTGTGGGGGCGTTGACCCCCGAAACCTTCTCCAGGTAAATTCCAGGTAAGTTGATGAATAAGACATGTTTGCAACACTAGGGTTCATTTACAGTGGACCCCCGCATAGCGACCTTAATCCGTGCAAGAGGGCTGGCTGTTATGCGAAATGTTCGGTATGCGAATGAATTTTCCCCATAAGAAATAATGGAAATCAAATTAATCCGTGCAAGACACCCAAAAGTATGAAAAAAAAATTTTTTACCACATGAAATGTTAATTTTAATACACACAAACTGAAAAAGGCATGCACAATTACATGACACTTACTTTTATTGAAGATCTGGTGATGATTGATGAGGATGGGAGGAGGGGAGAGAGTGTTAGTATTTAGAAGGGGAACCCCCTTCCATTAAGACTTGAGGTGTCGAGTCCTTTTCTGGGGTTACTTCCTTTCTCTTTTAATGCCACTAGGACCGTCAGAGTCACTGGACTTCTTTCGCACAACATATCTGTCCATAGTGGCCTGTCCCTGTCCTTTTGACTTCCCTAAAGTGTTTCACAACATTGTCAGTGTAATAGTCACCAGCACGGCTTGCAATTTGCTGTGTGGGGGTGATTTTCATCCATGAAGGTTTGCACTTCAAGCCACTTTGAAACAGTTTTCCCTTTAATCTTTGTAGTAGGCAATTTCTTCAATTTTCTCTCCCCCCCTTCGAACCAGTTTCCTCAGGTCGGGCCCTCTTGGCTGTTGAAGTTGATCTATCAGTCATCAGTGGTTAGTTCTTCATTGTCCTCCTCCACCAACTCTTCACATCATCCCCACTAACCCCCAAACCCTAAGGACTTTCCCATGCCAAATGGGATTCCTCAACTGGCATAACCCTCTAGGGTTAGCCTAAAACCCCTTCAAAACCCCTTTTGTCTACACATTCTGGCCACAGTTTTTTTCCAAGCAGAGTTAAAAGGTCTTCTTGTCACTTCCTCCCAAGCCTTACCTATAAGGTTTATACAATTGAGGATATTAAAGTGATCTCTCCAAAAGTCTCTTAGAGTCAGTTGAGTTTCTGAGGGGTCACTACAAAGCACCTTTCAAACAGAGCTTTTGTGTACAGTTTTTTGAGTTTGCAATAACCTGCTGGTCCATGGGCTGCAGGAGAGGAGGGGTTTATTAGGAGGCAAAACTTCACCTTAATGAATTTCATGTCCCCTTTAAAGTCGCTCTGCCACGTCTGTAGGATGACCAGGGGCATTGTCTAACACCAGGAGACACTAAGTTCTAATTTCTTTCGTTAGGTAATCTTTCACTTGGGGGGCAAATGCATGGTGTAACCAGTCATAGAAAAAGTCCCTAGTGACCCATGCCTTACTGTTTCCCCTCCACAGCACACAAAAAATTCTCCTTGAGGACATTCTTTTGCCTGAACGCTCTGGGAGTTTCAGAGTGATACACTAATAAAGGCTTTACTTTGCAATCACCAGTAGCTTTGGAACCATCAACAGAGTAAGCCTGTCTTTCATAGGCTTATGTCCTGGGAGTGCCTTTTCCTCCTGAGTAATGTAGGTCCTGCTTGGCATTTTCTTCCAAAACAGGCCTGTTTCATCACAATTAAACACTTGTTTCAGGTTTCAGTCCTTAAACTGTCTATGTACTCCTTGAATTCCTGCACATATTTTTTCAGCTGCTTTGTGGTCCAAACTGCAGCCTCACCAATGCCTTATCACACTATGTATGCCACAAACGCTTCTTAAATCTCTCAAACCAACCTTTGCTGGCCTTAAATTCACTCACTTCATCACTAGTTGCAGGCATTTTTTTAATTAAATCCTCATGCAACTTCCTAGCCTTTTCGCTTATGATCGCTTGAGAAACGCTATCTCCTGCTAGCTGTTTTTCATTTATCCACACCAATAAGAGTCTCTCAACATCTTCCATCACTTGCGATCTCTGTTTCGAAAACACAGTTAAACCTTTGGCAAGAACAGCTTCCTTGATTGCCTTTCTGTTGCCCACAGTAGTAGAGATTGGTTGATTTGGGTTTCTTGTACAACCTGACCATGGTCGGTGACACGCACTCCACTTTCATACTTATCAATGATCTCTTTCTTCATCTCTATTGGAATTCTACCCTTATTGCTGTAGGGTTGGAACTAGAAGCTTTCTTGGGGCCCATGGTCACTTATTTTCCAGATAAAGCACCGAAAACACTGTAAAAAATACGAAATATTCTGATTGTATGCTTGGATGTTACCGCAGAGGCTGGCTGGTAAAAATGCCACCGGCGGAACATATGAGGCTGGCTCAGGCCGCACATTGGACGCGTCTCGGACGAAGGGCGGTGAGCGGGTTTTTGGGCGGTATGCGAGCAAAAATTTTAGCGATCAAAAGCGTCGGTTTTGCGGATTGTACGGTATGCAATGCGTACGGTATGCGGGGGTCCACTGTATTGCTGAAACGTTTGGGCAGTCAAGATACCCAGGTGTTGCAAGCATCATTTAATACATAGTACTGTATTCCATTAATACCTCTTGTGTGCTGAATTTACCCCTTCTCTAATACTCTTTGTTTTTTTTCTTCCTCAAACCAATCCCTAAGCAAATTTATTAAGGGATACACAATTCAGTTCACATAGATTTTCCATAGATATGTATGTGTAGAGAACTAGGATAAACCCCGACACTCGACAAAGTGGTTATTTCCATGGGGTCCATTTAATACCATTTAGTATAAGGAGATTATATTTTATTATATAAAAAAGGAGATCTTTTTTTTCAACGTACCCAGGTACCCCACTGAGTGGGGTGGCCCCAAAAAGGAAAAAACGAAAGGGTTTTTTGCTTTTAAATTAAGTAATAATACAGGAGAAGGGGTTATAGCCCTATAAAGAAGATTTTACTAGGAATAAGGTAAAATGAGTTATTTAAGTTTACATGTGGTTTGTTTTTAGGTAAAAATATAAAAATCATTCTCCTCCCTTTCTGTCACTACATTCATTAGCACCTTTTGGCTCTCTTCTTGAATGGGTTTGTGCTGTGACTGGCTTTGACATGTGCAGTCTGTTCCATTCCTTTATTGCTGTACAATAAAAGGTGTTTGAAGCCTGGCCACTTACTGTGGGTAGTACGAAGTTGTGCTCTCTCCCCCTAGTATTATGATTGCTTTGGTTCCCAACCTTGACAAAATTGGCAGCAAGATATTCTGGACACTGTTTGTGAGCAATTTTATAAACTTGATTTAACTTAATTGTTTTACTCTGTCTTCAACATTCACCATATCCAATTGTTGTAATTCATTCTGGCCTACATGCTCTCTTGGATCCAGGTCCAGGATGAATCTTATCATTTTATTCTGGATGATTTGCAGTCTGTTTCAGTTTTTTGTCAAAGCAGAGTACCATGAAGAGCAAGTGTAGTCCATATGACATTGTATAAGGGCTAGACATAGGGTTCTGTGAGCCTCAGTAGGTAGACACTGTGCTCGTCTGTAGAGGAACTTCAGCCTGGCATTCACTTTCTTTATTACACTGTTCCCTATCAATTCAAAGGGAATTCCCAGATATTTTACTGAGAAAACTGAAGTGATGGCTCAAGAAATCGTAATGACACGATTGCAAACAAACCATACCCCCGGCCGGGATTGAACCCGCGGTCATAGAGTCTCAAAACTCCAGCCCGTCGCGTTAGCCACTAGACCAGCTAGCCACAATAAGATTCATCCAACTAGGTATATTTCTACACCATAGGAAGGTTAGCACAGGCACCACTGTGACCACAAATGCATTTGTGGTCACAGTGGTGCCTGTGCTAACCTTCCTATGGTGTAGAAATATACCTAGTTGGATGAATCTTATTGTGGCTAGCTGGTCTAGTGGCTAACGCGACGGGCTGGAGTTTTGAGACTCTATGACCGCGGGTTCAATCCCGGCCGGGGGTATGGTCTGAAGTGATGGGTTCCTCATTACACCAGACATTAGAATTATTTACCCTTCTCAGTTTGTTTCGTGCCAAAGAGTATGGCTTCCGTTTTCCCGAGGTGTAATAATAGTTTGTTGTCTACTAACCATTTGCTGCAGGATTCCAGTTCCACTGTTATTACATTAGCTATATCTTGTGGGTGTTTACTTAACACTAACAGAGCACTATCATCCACATACAGTAGGAGTTTGCACTTGACACTGATGGGCATGTTGTTTACATAACATAGGAATAATAAGGGACCCAGGATACTGCCTTAGGGAACTCCACATGCTATTGGCAGGGGTTCTGATTTTGTTTTGTTGATTTTGACAGTTTGTTTCCTGTTGCTAAGATAGGATGTTTCCTGTTACTAAGATGTATACATAAAATATATAGGCACATTAATATAGGCCTACACCATTAACACTTATGAATCACCTCTAAAAAAATTTACAAATACAGTGCATTAAATTTTATACCTAATTCTATATATCTAAAGGAACTACATTAGTAGGAAAATGAAAGGTTGGGAAAATGAGAGAAAATACAATTTTCCATGACATAAGTTTGGTGATTGCTGATTAAACATAATGTAATATAATATGTAGCTACAGTATATTGATATTTATTTTTTAATTTCAGCCATTGCTCCCGAAGCACTGCTACAAGGCAATACAATTTTCTCCACATTATATTGCTGGTACATCCTGTAACATACTGGGCCTTCAGTCATTGGTAAATATACCACAAGCTGTCTTAGAAACTGGTAATTTGTGCCTTATTGAAATAATTTCCAAAAAAGAAAATTCTGACATACAAGATACGTATAATAAAACAAATTTGCCAAGAACTTCATCCGTAATAAATTTTAATGTAAAAAATAAAGAGCTAGAGACTGCAGATAATATCAAGCCAGGAAATACAGAGGCAACTGAAGCAGAGGATATTGTTGAGAGCATCAAGAAATTTACGTTTAAGGTAAAGTGTTGCATAGTTTTTTCATAAAACTCCTGTATGCAGTTTTGTGATTTTTTGCATGATGTATCAAAAGTTACAGTAAGAAAATTAACTTTTTTACATGCAAACAAAATTAAATGTTAAAACTGCAAGGGGTTAGTACTTAATTTGATGATGATGATAATAGTAATAATAGTAATTCTAGGTAGGAGGTTGATAAGACAGCACCCACCCAGGGAGGTACTACCATCCTGCCAAGCGAGTGTAAAACGGAAGCCTGTAATTGTTTTCCATGATGGTAGGATTGCTGGTGTCTTTTTTTCTGTCTCATAAACATGTAAGATTTCAGGTACGTCTTGCTACTTCTTCTTACACTTAGGTCACACTACGCATACATGTACAAGCATATATATACACACCCCTCTGGGTTTTCTTCTATTTTCTTTCTAGTTCTTGTTCTTGTTTATTTCCTCTTACCTCCATGGGGAAGTGGAACAGAATTCTTCCTCCGTAAGCCATGCGTGTTGTAAGAGGTGACTAAAGTGCCGGGAGCAAGGGGCTAGTAACCCCTTCTCCTGTACAAATTACTAAATTTAAAAAGAAAAACTTTCGTTCTTTTTGGGCCACCCTGCCTTGGTGGGATATGGGGTAGGGGTCGTCCTTGAAAAGGTTGGAGGGAGGGGGTAAAGAAGGTGTTGTGGGCGAGAGGTTTGGACTTCCAGCAAGCGTGCGTGAGCGTGTTAGATAGGAGTGAATGGAGACGAATGGTATTTGGGACCTGAAGATCTGTTGGAGTGTGAGTAGGGTAATATTTAGTGAAGGGATTCAGGGAAACCGCTTATTTTTATGTAGCCGGACTTGAGTCCTGGAAATGGGAAGTACAATGCCTGCACTCTAAAGGAGGGGTTTGGGATATTGGCAGTTTGGAGGGATATATTGTGTATTTTTATACGTATATACTTCTAAACTTGTATTCTGAGCACCTCTGCAAAAACAGTGATTATGTGTGAGTGAGGTGAAAGTGTTGAATGATGATGAAAGTATTTTCTTTTTGGGTCACCCTGCCTCGGTGGGAGATGGCCGACTTGTTAAAAAAAAAAAAAAATAATAATAATAATAATAATAATAATAGATGGGGAAGTGTAGTGCCTGCACTCTAAAGGAGGGGTTTGGGATATTTGCTATTTGGAGGGATATCTGAAATGTCGATCTGTGCATTTCTGGCAAGACAGTAACAGTGTGAATGATGGTGAAAGTGCTTCTTTATCGATTCATCCAGCCTCCATAGGTGACGGCAGTCGTGTTAAAAAAATAACACTAATAATAAATACTACTCTTGTAAATAAATACTAAAATATTTTTATATCATAGGGCTTTGTAGCATATCTTATCTTGCACTGATCTTGTCAGGATGCTACTTGTGCTCTTAGAGTAATTTCTGTGCACTTTATAGGGGAAATGGGCAGTTTTTTGCTCAAAGTCAATAGAACAGAAGACATACTAGTGAAATAGCTGGATTTTGGTTGAATTGACCAATGGAATTGGCTTAAACAGGACTCAAAGTGGGCAAATTGTAACCAGACCACCAGCTTTGCGCATACATGATTCCTCGGGTCTTTTCCATCAAATTTTACCATTTATGTCATAACCTTCACAAAAAAATTTCTCCACCATTTCAGAAAAAATGTTTTATTCTTTGAAAAGTTGTGACACTGTCGGGCTTTTAATTTTGGAGGTCGTAACAGTGAAAGGGTTAATGTAATAATATAAGAAGGAAGGTGAATTATATGAAAATCAACCTGCTATCCTCAGAGGTGTAAGGAAATTCTACTATTGCACCTGGTGGCCTCACACAAAGTGTGAGGCAAAGACACATACAGCTGCACCTGCCATCCTCACATATGTGAACCAGAGATGCTCTCACTATTTTACAGTGTCACAAAAAATGGTGTAACCCACAGTTTGGTCATATAAGAAGTCATCTTTGGAAGAATGCTTTAGCTTTAATTTTCCTTTACAATTATGGCTCCTTTTATACTAAAATTTTTGAGATTCTGTAGGACCTCTTAAAATACTACTACTCATTTGCAGACATTAAGAACGTGGACTGTTATCTTCTAAGTAGCGTCTTTTCTTTGCCAGTGGATAACAGTCCTGCTAGAAATTCACTGGCACATGAGGCATCTGATAATGCTGGATTATTTCATGTAAACAATATATGTAAATGTATTTTGCTTTCATGTAAGTTTAAAAGTGTATGGATGTACTTGCTTTTACTGTTTGATGATTTTTTTAGTACAGTAATACATTTTAACAGTGTTCTTTTCTCTGTGCTTTTATCTTATGTTTCTAAATTGTTCTTTTATTTATTTCTGAAGATCACAGACGAGGGTTCTTTGCCTTCTCGACCACCGCAAGTTTTAAATCGCATTGAGTCAGCAGTCTGCAATTCTACAATAACACCATCTGCATTAATGATCTACATATCAACAGTTATTTATGAGTGGATCAATAAGGTAAGACAACATAACAGATAAAACATGTTAAGAATTCAAGTATAGCACCATGGTTGCTCTCTTTCAGTTTTACACTTAGCCATACACTTGCTAGTTTAAATGTGAAACTGGTCAAGTGATTGGTGTCATATCTAAAATGAAACTGGCATGAAGTTTGATATAAAAATCAAGGATAATTATCAAAGCCTTACTGCAAAACCCAGGTTAGTATCGCACATTGTGCCATTTGTAAACATCTTATCCCTTAAGGCAGTGGTATTCATTGCGTGGCTTGCGAGCCGCTGGCGGCTCGCGATGACTCAATTCACGGCTCTCAAAAAATATATAAATTAATTAATAAAAAAAATATATAGAAAAATAATTTTTCAAGTAAGATACATATTTTCATGAGGCGAGATGGAAAACGAAGTCACAGTAAGAGATAACATTCTAACATCCCTACCCTAGTCGTACAGAAATCATACGTGTCCACTACGGGAAACTGATCAGGGACACATCTAGCTCTAGCCGTCGGTGGTCTCGCTGAATCAGTTGAGTTCAAGCTTTCGGGGGAGACTGGACGTATTTCGTTACTCTTGGAGATTTGTGTTTGAAAATAGGCAACAGATATTTGAGACTGCAGCAACATATATGAAAGTAACGACTTAACTGTTGCTGCTTGTGGAAGCTAGCTGCGATGAGCTAGTTTTACTTGAAACCAAAGTGCAGTCAAGTAGTGTCTGTTATGATGGATCGATTTGTGGTTAAACAAAAACGCAATAGTGATGAACAGCCATCCCAGACCCGACCAGTAGAAAAGGAGCATTAAGTAAGTTTGGTCTCTATTTTGCTATTAATAACAAGATATGCAGGCTAATATTACCATGTCTAATTTTTCTCATTTACTATATTGCACTAGCAGCTCAGTACTACTTAATTTAGTTGAGTTACACTAACTTGCAGTAGCTGCGGCTCTCTCAATCAATGTGTTTAACCGAAGTGGCTCTCTTGCAAAAATTAGTGAATAACACTGCCTTAAGACATAAACAGCATCATGTTCATGGAAGTTATTCCTGGTCTAGGCATTGTGGAGGTAGAGGAAATAATGAAGGCAACCAAATGTTAAAATAAAAACTCAAAGAGTATAATTGGGTTATTTGGCTAATAATTAAGATTTACCAACAATTAGAGTAACTCTTCTCTTTTTAGATGTCGTTATTGCTACATTAACACTCATTCTTGAATGAGTGACCACATCTAGAAATTCCCTGATAAATAACCTACAGACACAGATTATTACTAACAGCTAATAGTTTGACTACCACATTCTTGCAACAAATCAGTCTGTGCCTTAACACAAAGGGTATATTTTTATTTATACAATCAGGTTTTTGTATAGCCTCTCTTATAATATTGTTTATTCTAAACCCATAGGGGTCATATAGTGCTACAAAATGAGAGATAATTAGGCTTGATCCAAAGGAATGGGATGGTAGCTTCAGTTCTTTGAATCAAGAGCCCTTCAGCATTGTGGCACCTCCCTTGAAAGTGTACATGGGTAGAGCTAGCTCATGTACCATCTTCTGTATTTAGTCTTATTGTATTGTTTTTTTTAAATAATGTTTTTATATAAGTTACACCACCTACCCTTTTTAAAGTTAGGACTTTTTCTTGTCAATTATTTTTTTCAGTCTTGAATTGGTATTGTCTTATCCAACTTCCCTGTATCATAACTGCCTATTTTAGTTTCAGAAATAGAGATATGCTTGTGGTGTCCCATCTTGGGCATTTATTTCTTTATAATTTTTAAATTTCTATAGTTAGTTAATAGAAAGAGTTGAAGGTAGGAAAGAAGTTGGATTTAGAGAGAACTTTTAACAGTGAAAAGTGAAATGCAACTGTGTACATAGCAACAGTTGTAATAGTTGACATTTTCAGATTATATTAATGAAGTGCTAAACAGAGTACAGAATAGAGTAAAGATAATTTAATACTGAGCTATTGGTGTCAATGTCCTGTTTACTCTCACAAAACTAAACTTTAATATTGATAGTTACAACCTTTCAAGAAAAATTCATGCTGTATGACATAACTTAGTGATAGAAAGCAAATTTAAGTCTGTATTTAATTCATCAGATTGGGATTTATTTAATCCTGAACTTCTTAACACACCAGAAATGAAATACTGTAAGTGATAGTGTAAACCTGTAATGATGCAGTTTTGCTGTGAATTGCTTTAGTCCAGAAAGAATTATGAGGGTAGCCAAAGATGGTGCTGCATGAAGTGCACACTTACTGTATATTGTTTACGCTATGGTTGTTGGTGATCCTTTGATTTTGTGCGATTCTTAGCATATATAACTGACATTTAACCCTAGCTGTGGCTAGGGTTAATAGCCTTAGTAACTTGTCAATAGCTATGGGTGTTGACAGGTTCATCGAATTGTCATGTGAATTTATCAACGGGCTAGAACAACATTCCTTCATGATGGAAAGAGAGCCTAATGAATTTTTATTTGATGCATGAAAAATTACATAGGCAAAAATCAAAGCATATTCAACAACATTGCTTGAATGAAATGTTTAAGAAGATAGCCAAGAAAAATGTCATAGCAGTAGGCTTACATTTGAAAACCCCATGGCTTCTAGTACCCTAGATGGCTTTCCCCTACATCATCACAAATCCATGATGAATCAGTCAACCATGAAATAATCCTGACAACCCTCAACTTCCAGATCTTTGTAAGTAGCTCTACAGTTCCAGTAAAATTCAAATATTTATCACTTGGGGAGTTGTAGTACTACAACATTCTTTCATTTAAGTTTCTAGCAGTCCATGGTTCTTTAGAGACATCAGAGGTGTATTATGTGTAGAATTCACGGTTCAGAGGTGTATTGTTGAATTATTATTTTGTGATCTTTGTTGGTCTGGCAAAATTGATATCCCGGCAAGACTTAGGAACCAAAGGCGCGAGAAAATCGGTGTTGTATCCTCAGGTAATTAAGTAAAATAGCAAGATGTTACTTTTTTTGCAGTTATTATTATAATCATTGGGAAGCATTAAACCTGTAGAGGTCACGTTGTGCCCTGCAAATAGGCAATCAGCTTTGATCCAAGGAAAGGGGTAGCTCCATTTCCTTGAATCAAGAGCTTTAACAACATTCAGACACCCCCCTGACTGACTTAATTTCAAATACTCTCACTTTTCTCTTCAGGTAAAGGTATGGATTCATGTTCAGAACCTCAAGAAAATGTCAAACAGTCATCCTGAGAGAATCCCATCACCTGTGAACTACTCTCAATCTGTCACTCGAACTTCACCAATACCCATTTTACGAGGTTCAACAAATTCTCTCTCAAGATCACCTGTAATGCCAGCCTTTCGAAGTGCATCTCCTGGAACCCTCAATTCAGTTCCTCAAGAACTAACCCCGCAAGATGAACGACATCAGTTATTGGCTGCTCTAGGATCAACAGAGTGGGATGTCCCATTGTTAGAGTTCTGGGCAAAAAATTTTAATCAAATAAGTGGGCAAGAAGTGTGTTGATCCAGTTTTTATTACAGGCATTTAGCAAAAAAAATTTAAGTTCTTTGTAAGTGTTGTATCCCTCAAGAAAGGTTCCTTGATGGCAGTCTGGAGGATGGCTCTTAATCCAAGGAATTGCATGTATCCTACATTTCTGTAATTGAAGTGGATTGCTCCTATTTCCCAAGTCTTCGTTCAGTTGTACTCTCCACCAATTTAAAAATGCCTCTTGCCTTTAGCATAACGATTTATATTTTGTTTACCATTACTGTTAGTGACATCGATACCATGCCTAACCCTTCTAGGGTAGGTGCCTGAGCCCGAGCCTTTAGCTCATAAGACTGTCATTCCCATTTGGCCCCTTGAGGATGGCAGACCAGACTGGCCTAGCTTGTGGCTAGGTCTGGGGACAGTTGGTCCCAAAGATGAGGAGGTACTTGTGCCTCCTCCCATGGGAGACAGGTCTCAGACACTCCCTAAAGAGGGTGCCAAGGCCGGGCCACCACTTGGAAAAGGCCCGGGCCGGAAGAATACCGGCTAATCTTTAATAATTGCTGTTAGTCATATTATGGTGGAATGCTAAACCTGTAGGATTATAGTGTCTGGGGGGGAATAGAAGTCATTAAGGCAACTAGAGCACAGATCCATTTCTCTAGATCAAGAGCCCCTCACCAGCATCAAGGAACCTTCCTTGAGGGGCCTGTTAGTCATAAAATATAACAAAATGATTAATTTTAAATCATTTCTTGATTTAGGATCAGTGAATTTTGTATTACCATTTGTTAGTAGTCTTGTTTGATGACTATTAGGTTAACACAATCTGTTTTATACCCCTCTTGATCCAAGGAGCTAGCTACACCTTGCATCCTTGAACCCCCATCATTAAGGGAAACCTTGTCTTGTGTGGCAATTGCCTTAATGTACTTGTGACCCATCTAGGTTTAGCAGTTATTTTTCTTTAAAATTTTACAAGGAAGCACTTAACCCATAACATGCCTGGGGAATAGGAGGTAGACAATCATGAAAATGGTAGCTTGAATTCCTTGGGTCATGAGCCTCCTTGCTAGCATCAAAATTAACCCCTTTGAACTTTGGAAGGAAGTGCCATCCATTGGCCATGGCATCAATGATAACCCCCCACTCACTATGAAAAGCAGCAGAAGTTTAGTAGCAACCTGAACTGAAATCAAATTAAAATCATAAGCATTGAACTTCGCTTGTTTTGAAATAAAATACTGTACGTATATTATGTACATTTAAAATATTCTTGAGAAAAATAGAGAATTTATATTTGTCAATATTTTATTTAATCAAAGAGACCAAAGCCCATATCATCATCAGACTCTTCCTGAGGCTCTTCTTTCTTTTCTTCTTTCTTCTTTTCTTGTGCAGCTGGGGCTGCAGCAGGTGCAGCAGTAGCTGCACCCAGACTACCACCGCTGCCACCACCACCACCACACGAAGGCATGGACGAAATCAGTGCTGATCCTGCAATGAAGTATTTTCATTTCTGACAGCTGCCAATTATTTATTTCTAACATGTGCTAGGATAAGAAAAACAAAGAGGGGGGTAGAAGGAAAACTTAATTATGCAGGTCTAGTAAAAGAATAAGAATTTTAAACTGAAGCTGGACAAGAAATACATACTACTATATTCAATGGGAGAGTGCTAAACCTGTAAGGGTCATACAGAGTAATGGAATGAGGGGCATTCAGGTTTAATCTAAAGGGAAGGGTAGATCTACTTCCTTGGGTCAAGAGCCCTTCACTGGCATCAAAGAACCTCCCTTGTGGGGAAACAACTACATAAATTACAATTATATTCATGAGAAAAGGGTGTGGGGGAGAGCACTAATCCCACAGGAGTAACGAGTAATTCAACACCAGGATTGATTCAAGGATATGGTCAGGGCCAGGTTCTTTGATCAATAGCCCCTTACTGGTGTTAAACAGTCTTTGCAACAACTCTTATTTTTTAAATTATTCACATTACAGAGTATTTATCACCACCTCTTGAAACACAAACATCCACTTCCCTAGCTACCCGCTTCTAAAAAAATTTCCAATTTTTCTCCACTTGCTGGAATAAATTTCCCTTCTTTCCAACACTTTACCCTGTGTCTTGCACCCAAAATAGTTTACAACTTTCCGCTTTTCACAAGTTTCTAAGTACTGCTCGCTTCGATATACTGAGCAAATGGGTTAACAAATAGATGAAATTTAAAGGTGACAAAGGGTATGTAATGGAAATGAAAGCAAAATCAATCACAAAGCATGCATATTCTGCATACTTTGTGATCCAACCACTGGAAATATTAAATAATTAAATGATTATACAGTATTAATGAAGAAGGGACACATTGGGTATAGCTCCACTCCTGTCAGAATATGGTAATATGGAACAAGATGTAAATACCTGATTATCAGTGTGTTCCCACATGCTGAGAAAAGGAGCAACATTCTGGTAATGAGTGCAGGCATTTTCACTCAGATGTGCTCATCGTTAGTGGCCAGACAATATTATGACTTCATTCCCAAAGTTCTACATAAAGAAAATACAATAATCTAGAACTATACATCAAGAGGCTGAAGATGTCGAGATAACCTCTTAAAAAATAAACCCAATGAGAAGACGGAATGCAGACATGGCAATGGAACCAGCTCCTCACAAAGGTACAACACCTCATGTAACAATACTGGGAAGACCAGAAATATGTACACTTAAGAGTTACATCACAAGATGGTAGAGTACCAGTGATACTAACAAAATGCATTCTAAACTCAAACAACTCAAATGGTAAATCTTCCCCTTTTCCCCAACATTCAGGGTTAGAAAGCAATTAAATGTGACAGTATATAAGTGGGCTCCTTACAGCAAATGCTATATTTGGAGCGTTTACAGAAACGCGTACAATGGATGTTTTGGACAATGAGATACAGGTAAAAAATTACAATATTTATAGATGTGACAGTAATTACAAAATAAGGAGTAAGAGTTGGAGTTTTAAGTACGTATTAATGTGAAAAACTAGTACGTAATTAACCTCGTACATACATCGTCAGCTACAATTAAGGAATTCATGGAACAGATAGATACACCTACCATCCGACTTACGACCTGCTCGACATATGTCCACTCGACTTACGGCCGTGCATCTGGCAGCTGGGCTGGGCCGGCTGATGCATTCCGCTGTACAGTATTGATGATACTCATGGCGGCAATGCGCCATGCAGGCAGCATCAGTTTGAGTTACCCTGCCCTATCAGCATCATCATACTGTATTAACTGTACTAACTGGACAGTAAATTTCAACATGGCCCCTATGAGGAAGTCTGAATCTTGCACTGGAGATTGTGGCAAGAAGGCAAGAAAGGCTCTTACTCTCGAACTCTCTTTGTGTGTTTTCACTGTTACACATAAACCTGTATATCTGTCTGTATCTGTGTCTGTATGTCTGTATCTGTCTGCTTATCTGTCTTCATGTCTTCCTGTCTGCTTGTCTCTCACAGAGCTGCTCATGTACCAACAGGTATTACACACGAAGCAGAGTAGTCACATCTTCAATATGATGCTAATATCTCTCTACAGCTTATTTATCTATCACAGTTCATATAATATGATATAACAATATAAATAACATAAAAACCTGATATACACTCTAGAATGAATAAAATATGAACTTAACTGCTTTAAACTCCACATCTTGCGCCTGTGCTGGCGTGTGGGTACACATTAAAATCACTAAGAATGTGTTACTGGTCTTGAAGATGCCATATTAATAATGATAATCACAATAATAATCACTGAGGTGTATTAAATGTGTATAAAATGTTAATATAGACATTTTGCTTAATCCATCTATGATTTTTTTTTTCAAAATTATATAAGAAACACACTACATAACATATAAACATATAAATTAACATAAATATGAGATGTTTTTCCAGTCGGCTTGACAGAGTGAACAAAAACCATTCGTGTCCAGGCTGGTAACAACTAGTTTGTTTACAAAATTCGCGAACCTTCTACTCTCTCATTCTCTCTCTCTCTCGTTTATTCATTTAATCTTGTTTACTCGCCTCTCACTCTACATTAAGACTACAGATATTTTAAGGTAAGTAATGAGTGAACACTATTATTATATTTTAATAATATTATTATTAATATTAGTACATATGTATTATTGTAATAATTATTATTATTAATTTAGGGAACTAGAGCACCGATCCACTGTATAATGCTGTATAGCACTGTGTTGTTTTTTTATCCAAGGTAATTTACACTATGTATGATTACTTATGTGTACCTGTTAGAGACAGAGATAGAGAGAGCCAAATTCAGTCAGCCAACCAACCAGCCAGCTGGCTAGCAGGAAGATGGTAAATCATAGCATTACACTAGAAGTAGTTCCCAGAAGTATGTTACCTCAACAGATAAATATCAGAGAGAGGTGAAGGGGCTTTTTAAAATGTTTGCTTTGAACTAATAAAGCCCACAACTAATTAATAACATACTAGATTTGTTCATGAACAAGGAACTAATCAGAGAGAGCAATCACAAATACAAATACAGATGTTAATCTGTTCCTGAGAGCTCATCGTAAGCCGAAATTATCGTTAGCCGAATTAATTTTCCCCATAAGAAATAATGGAAATTAAATTAAATCTGTTCCTGACACACCAAAGTATGAAAAAAAAATTTTTTTTACCACATGAAATATTAATTTTAATGCACACAAACTGAAGAAGACATACAATTACTACTCTACTAAGAAGATCTGGTGATGATTGATGGGATGGGAGGAGGGGAGAGTGTGGAAGTTATTGTTTAGAAGGGGAATCCCTTTCCATTAGGACTTGAAGTAGCAAGTCCTTTTCCGGGGTTACTTCCCTTCTTTTAATGCCACTAGGACCAGCTTGAGAGTCACTGGACCTCTGTCGCACAACAAATCTGTCCAAAAAGTTCTGTACCTCCCGTTCCTTGAAGACTTTCCTAAAATGGGCCATAACATTGTCACTGTACAGGTTGTCAACATGGCTTGCAGTAGCTGTGTCAGGGTGATTTTCATCTGTAAAGGTTTGCAGTTCAACCCACTTTGCACACATTTCCTTAATCTCTCTTTTCAATTCCATACTAATTCTCGCCCTTTTTACCACAGAAGCTTTCTAGGGGTCCATGGTGACTTATTTTGCAGTTACAAGCACTAAAAACACTGGGATAATGTGAAATGTACCAAATGTATGTGTAGATGCGACTGCAGTGGCTGGCTTGTAAACACTGGCGCTGAGGCCACACGTGGGACGCGTCCCAGACGAATCACGTAATGTGAGGTTTTTTTTTATCGTGAGGCAAGGCAAAATTTTTGCATTCAAATGCTTCGTATGGCAGATTTAACGTAATGCGATGCGTTCATAAAGCGGGGGTCCACTGCATTCTGATTAACACTGAATCGGTTAACATGATTTTGCTTTAACTGGTTGCAAAATTCCAGCATATTTTCAGTGAACACACCACATTAATAAATTTACATGGCAGAGTACATGTATGGAAAAATGTGGCATATGTAGGGTTACCCCTCTGCCTCACAATAAGCCTTAATTAAGGGGAATTCATTCTTACAGAGGAGTATACCTGGAGTGTGTTTTTGGGGTCAATGCCCCCGTGGCCCAGTCTGAGACCAGACCTCGTGGTGGATCCAGGTCTGATCAGCCAGGCTGTTACTGCTGGATGCACGCAAACTGACGTATGAACCACAGCCAAGTTGGTTAGGTTCTGACTTTAGGTGCCTGTCCAGTGCCTTGTTAAAGACAACCAGAAGTCTATTGGTAATCCCCCTTATGTATGTTGGGAGGCAGTTGAACAGTCTTGGGCCCCTGACACTTGTTGTGTTGTCTGTCAGTGTACTCGTGGTGCCTCTGCTTTTCATTGGGGGGAATGGTGTATCTCCTGCCTAGTCTTTTGCTTTCATAGGGAGTGATTTTTATGTGCAAGTTTGGTACTAATCCCTCTAGGATTTTCCACAGGTGCCCTGTGGCCTGGTGGCAAAAAGCTCTCATCTCACACGGTGAGGGTCTGGGTTTGATTCCCGGCGAACGGGTGGAAACACTGGGCATGTTTCTCGACACCGGTTGTCTATGTTCACCCATCAGTACAATGGGTACTTGGGTGTTAGTTGATTGGTGTGGGTCGCATCCTGGGACAAAACTGACATAATTTGCCCAAAATGCTCTGCATAACAAGCAGCTTTCTATATAGTATTATGTCATTGATGTTAGCTAGGCCGGTATGCCTTTGTACATGTACTTGTAGAAATAAAGATATTATTAAGTGTATATTATCAAGTCTCTCTCTTGCCTGCATTCCAGGGGATACAAATCAAGGGACTAACCGTTCTTAGTAATTTAGGTGCCTTATCGTATTTGTGTGTGCTGTGAAAGTTCTCTGTACACTCTCCAGATCAGAAATTTTGCCAGCCTTGAAGGGGGCA